TTTCAGCTGTAATGCTACCATAACCCAAGCTTCTCGAGATTCTGACTGTGCGGCGTTTCCGGTTATTGAAGACAATCTTTCTGATACTTTGAAGCCTCGGGCGGGTGTTTGTGACCCTGATTCCTACGGCATCACCAACCGCCATTGCCACGGATCTCAGTCATGTGATGACATGATTCGTCCTTCGCAGGTAAACAACACTGCACTCTCACCGGCTTCTCTGCATAATACCGTTTACACACAACAAAGTCAGCACGTGCATTTCGGCTCGGGCGGAAGTGGAGGTAGTGAAGGAGAAAGTGCTGCGCACACGCCATGCTCGTATGTCAGCTCGGGTAGCAGCACTCACGGTGGTATTCCTCCTGGACAAGTAACTATCCATACAACTGTGGTAGATGGTGTCAACCGAAGGGGTAACCGAAACGGCCCTTCATCGCGACAACTCTCCGGTTTATTGACTCAACACGTCGCTTGTGATTTGGATGAATCTGTTATGACACAAGATACTGGACGTGGTAAGTAGCTGTTTGGAATGCATTACGGATTCAGTGAAATGATGCTTTTGGTCCTAGTGATAACTTCGAGATGCAACTCGCATTTAGTTTGAACTTAGGGCAACAAATTCATAACCATCGGTTCACTATTCTTCTTAATTTTCTATAGTGGTGTAATCTCAGCAAGCAGTCGTGGACATGACCGCTGTATTCAGATGGGTAAATGGGTGGGGCATTAACAGTTCCTTCCAGATCCACTTTTTTTATAATCTAGTACGTTTGTGTTTCTAAGAGGTGTTCCCAAAAGGTATCGGTTGTCGGATAAACCTAATCAGTTAATCTGAATTTTTTGACCTATCACTCTTGCATAATTTCTGATTGTGGAATATTCTGTTCTGTCATACCATTTAGACACCAATTCCAAGGGTCGGAGTGAAAGCTCATGCCGGACTGCGGCTTCAAGTAGAATCGAAGATCTTTCTCCCGACTTGTCGTCAAAGTTCGCTGAACTCGATCGGTGGGTGTGCTGTTCCTAATGTGAAGTTTTTCACTTTGTATTACTCATTCTTACTTATTACAGATCGTCTGCTCGAAAAATCCGTAGTCCGTCCCAGACAGACGGTGTAGGCTATCGTGGTAACCTAGTCGACACAACCTCGACATAGTATATCCTAGTCGAGTCTCAGGTGATTCGAAGATCCCCTAATAAAAACCCGGCATTCTCTTTTTCGATCGCATAGACACCAGAACAATCAAATACACGCGTTTATCAATGAACGAGGCATGATGAGGTTCTTCATTGATGGTCGATGCAGTTAACTTTTATCAAGTGCATAGTGTCTCAACATTCTGTTGATTTTCCATCCCCTTACCTGTTTTCTTGGAAAATTAGAGATTGTGAAGCGAGGAAGGGACCGAAACGAAATTTAAAAGAGTCACATCGATAGCAAAATATTGGAATTATATTTGAACCGTCACTTGGTCTTTTTTAGTTTCTTCGGTCGGGAGTCCATAAACTAACGAAATTATTCTTTTAAATGTTTTTTGCTTCACAACACGCTCCACTTTTGACTCCGTTGTAAACCGCCCTAGTAACCTATGGACTTCTCGCTTTAAAAATCAATCACATGAATATCCAGATGGTAACCGAATAAGTGGGGCACTTTCCTCAGTATCTAAGCAAATAATCGGAAATCAATTATTTTCAGTCAATATATGTATTCCTCTTTTGGTGCCAAACTCGCAGCATTATCCTAAAATGCGCTAACTTCCCAGACGACTGCATCTAATTGAACTCGGGAATCTTTCCGTCATCACGCCAACGACTTTCGCGGTGCTCATGCTGACCTTAAATGAGGTCCACGGACAAAGCGATCCATGCTTTAGCTCTGTCCAGAAGAGCAATCTTGATGAGGGTGAACGTTTCGTTTCCTGGAAGTTTCCCAAAACAGTGACTTTGGATTCCTCATCGACTCGTGCACGATACACTTATCTGAAAAAATACCGATCGCCGAAATCCTGCCTCTGACGGATATCAAATTTTTCATCCTCTTTTGCGGGAAGGATTAGGAACAATTATAAAAATATGGATCGAGGATATTGACTTTTTAAGAGTTCCGCTTCCACAGGATATTCTCGTTGACGTTTTTCGGATATTTTTTATGTTCAAGCACGAAAAATCCATGCTTACACTCTCTTGTGTCTTGGCACTGAAAATTTCAGAAATTAGTCTTTTTACATAGATTACGATTTTGCACACAGTTTTCCTTCGTCCATGTTCAGACTATTTTACTTTGGCGATCAAGATTTGATGTTCCGTTTTCACCAACGGGATCGGGACTCCATTTGAACGATCGTAAACCGACTGAGTTCACGGCCTTTACTAAAGATCCTTTCACCAATGCATCTTGAACAGTCGCCCAAGGCTGTAAACTGTAGGACCTATCGTTGGCGTCCATTTACAATGTCGGCTTTTCTGTTCACTGAATTCCTACTTCTTTTATTGGTAACTTTTCTATAACTATGTAGTTCATCGGATACCGTTTCGCTGTTTCTAACATGGGCTTGCATTTTTGCTTGATCCCGAACGAGACTTTCATTCTCAAAGGTTAACTTGTGGGTTGGATTGATAAATTTAGTGTTTTCAATAAAGTTTCCTGCTGCAATTCCGTTGTTTTGGTTTGTCCAGCCCACCTCGCTACACGGTTCAAATGGGTATTTCGAAAACCCTACCTAGGCCCGCTGTGGTTTTACTTACAGATTTCTGATATGTAAGCCTTT